TCACAGAATTTCCGGAGAGTTGCCAATGAATTTATGTGTAACATAGATTTCCCTGTAAGGGGCCAGATAGTACAATATGGTTAATATTAGCAAATTAAGATGATTGCATACTTTATAGGGCCTTGAGCCCAAGGAAGCAAGGCGATAATTGCACAGTGGAAAAGAAGCTGCGGTGTGGCTGAGACTCTTTGCAGCCTTTCTGTGATGGTCTGGAGCTGATGTAAACACAGAGCATTAGAAAGAGATTTTAAGGCTGGCTGACCACAGCAGAACACACCCTGTAGTTGCCTTTTGAGGGTGGTTAGTCTTCCCCGCCTAGGTGACGCTCTAAAGGTTTCCTTTCAGCTCTTGGCTGCGGATGCCTAGGTAAGTGGTAGAGCACTTGGCTAGCATGTGTGCGGCCCTGGGTACGATATCCTGTGCTAGAAAGAAAATTAGATCTTGGCACATGCTTGTAATCATAGCTACTGAGGAGTTCAGGCAGGAGGGTCGTAAGTTCAAGACCAGCCTAGGCAACTTAGTGAAATCCTGTCTCAAGGAAAAAAAACAAAGGGCTAGGGATAAAGTTCAGTGATAAAGTGTGTCTCTTGGTTCCATCCCTATTACCACAAAAACAAAACAAATAGAAAACACTCCCTTTGCTTAAAAACGTATTGGCTAGAAGAAATACTAACTTCTTTGTATTTCTAGAATGTGTCCTTGAGAATAAAGTAGAACAACTAAGGGCCAGGGATATAGCCCAGCAATACAGCACCTGCCTGGCAAGCGCAAGGTTGTGAGTTCAGTACCCGCCGCCCCCCAAATCACTCACACACACACACACACACACACACACACAGAAAAGCTGATAATAAAAAAGTTAAATTGTGGCCAGCAGAGAGAGGGGCATATTTGTTTTTTGTTTTGCATTTGTTATGTAAGTTCAGATGGATTTTTAAAGTTACCTTTCCTAACAGTGGAAATACTTTACAATGACTATGACATTGACATTTGGCCAAGGTTCTTTGGGAAACACAAATGACTCCTTTCCTCAGACCTTATCTTTTGGCAGTGGAGAGAAGGTGAACAGAAACAGTTTCATACTTTGGATCACACAAGTAGAAGGATATGAAAATATGAGAACAGAAATATGCTTTCTTAAATAGCTGTATTGAGATATAACTCAAATTCATGAAATGCATCCTGTTCATTGTTTTTAAGCTCACAGGTGTACAGCCATCAGCACAATCAGTTTTAGAACATTTTCATCACCTTCAAAAGAAAACTTCACCCTGTACCAGTTATTCCTGTGCACTAAACAACCATTCATCTCCTCTCCATTTTTCTAGATTTCCCTTTCTGGGGCCTTTCAACTCAGTGGAATTACATGATACATGGTCTGTTGTGACTGGCCTTTTTCCTTAGTGCAAGCATCATCCAAGGTGTAGTTGTATCATTCCATCATTTTTATTCCTGGTCAGTGTTTCATTCTATGGACATACCCTATTTATCCATTCATTTCTTTTCTTTTTTTTCTTTTTGAGACAAGGTCTCGCTATGCAGTTCAGGCTGGCCTTGAGCTCACTTTGTAGCCCAGGCTGATCTTGAACTAGCAATGATCCTCCTACCTCAGCCTCCCGAATGCTGGGATTACAGGTGTGCGCCACCAAGCCCAGCTTGTCCATTCATTTCTTGACAGATGTCTGGGTCATTTCAGCTTCTTCAATTTTATCCCCCCAAATGTTGCTGTGAGCATTTTTGTATAGATTTTATATGGACAAAGTTGTCATTTCTCTTGAATACATGTCTAGGAGTAGAATTGCTGGATCCTATGGTAACTGTAACATCGCAGAAAAGCTTTTGGCTTGCCTGGGCCACAGTGAGTGAAGAATTGTCTTGGACTACATATAAAACACATAATTAGCTGGATGTGGTGGCGCAAGGCTGAGGCAGGAAGATTGTAAGTTTGGGACTAGCCTGGGCTACAAAGTGAGCTCAAGGCCAGCCTGAACTGCATAGGAAGACCCTGTCTCAAAAATACACACAAAAAACCCCAAACACTCATCATTAATGTGTATAAGTAAGAAAACTTCCTTTTAAAAATATTTTTATCATAACATTTTTAGTATTAGCAATGTTGTGTGTATAATTGTGACAGTATCATTGAACAAAAAAGTATTTGATACACTTTAGTACCTTCTGGAGCAAAGCTGCTAAGAAAGTATTTTAATTTGTTAAATTATTTTATGAACTAACATAGCCCACATTTAATAATTCAGTAAGAAAACTTACATGTCTTACCAGTAGGAACAATAAAGGTCTGTCTTCACAGGCGCACACGGAGGTAGGCAGGCTGAGCTACCGTGGTGGGTAATCTCTGTGTTGCTAGCCACATGGCACAGTGCCCTGGTACATGCTGGTTTGTTTCTCTTTGACTGTGAGTGGCAGGCAGGCATGGGAGGCACCACGAGCACCACACTGTGCCCTGCGTCACCACACTGTCACCTGCTCAGTCTGTGCTCAGGCACCCCACAGTGAAGCCATGAAACTGATTGCTAAAAATCACATCATAATGTGAAAAGTTTCCAAGTTTACAGACTAATGGGGCTACACTAGGGGCTGCACGCAGCTTATGAGCTGTGGGTTCTACACACTTGTGTCTGTTTTTTTTTTTTTTTTAAGTACTTGGGATTGAATCCAGGGTCTTCGTGCTAACCTGCATTCCCAGCCCTTTTTTTTATTTTGAAACAAGGTCTTGCTCAATTGCTAAATTACCCAGGCTGGACTCAAACTTGCAGTCTTCCTGCCTTAGCCTCCCAGAGTGCTGGGAATGCCTGCCTTTTGAGGAACTGCCAAGTTGTTTTCCAAAGGCCTTTTATATTCCTAACAATAATGCACTAAGGTAATAATTTCCCCACAAAATAACATTTGTATTTAATTATTTATGTATTTATGTATTTATTTATTTTCCTTCAGTACTGGGGATTGAACCCAGGGAGTACTGAGCTACATTCCAACCCTTTTTATTCTTTATTTTTACTTTGAGATAAAGTTTTGCTACGTTATCCAGGCTACCCTGGAACTTGTCCTCCTGCTTCAGTCTTCTGTGTATCTGGGATTACAGGCATGTACCACACCAAAAAAAAAAAAAAAAAGTTGGATGTCTTTGTTGAAGTCTAATAATTTTTTAAAATATATTTTGATAGAAGTCCTTTATAGATAAGTGATTTGCAAAAATTTTCTCAATTCTGTTCTC